TAATTTATATATATATAAAGTTTATTCTCTCTCTTATATAATGCTTCTTTCTTTATATATAAAAATTATAATTTAATAATAATCTTTCTAAAATACAACTGCATATTGGGCATAACATAAAATCCGCTCGTTTTAGGTGCACTTTCCTACATTTTCTGTTTTTAAAACGAAACAGATGTATATTCAAATTATTAAAAGGAAAAGAAAAAAGGAAAGAGAGAAAATTAAGAAAGAAACAAAATAAAGCAGAAAAAGTGCGACTAAAATGAATCGATGTACAAATGATAGTCTGATGGTTAATGCAAACAGAATATACCATGAAATCCCATAATATTTCCCAGTACCATGTTATTAGAGCGTGTCGCGCACACATACATAGTTATGTAAATGATTAAAAAAAAATAACAAACGTTTTCGAATCGTCAGTTGCGTAATCGTTGATAATTTCCTGTCCTGATTTTGAAGGCGATTCGGATTGTATGACCGCAGAAGACACTTGCTCGTCCTCATTATTATCAGTAGTGCTCGAAGCATGTGTCCTGCGAAAGGCATGTTAAAAGCGAAGCACATGCAGATGTGAGTAACTTGAAAATGATATTCTGCATGAAAGCAATAACAATCATTTAATGTAGAATAATTCTGAGATAAGATAATATGACTTTTTCCAATTTTTTTTCTAATGGAAGTTAATAAAATAAAAAATTAAAAATGTATACAATATATATAATTATTAAATTATTTATTATTTAAATAATAATTATTATCAAAGACATGTGTATATGTGTTATGTATAAATATATATTGCTTCAATAATAATAATTAGATTGTCATTACATGATAATTAATATTTAAACAATTTCTAGATTTTAAATATCTCTATAAAGCATGTATACTCTGCTCTATATTCTCTTCTATTTTATGAAAAGTTATCAAAAGACTATAAATGTATTACAAAATCTTTCATTCTGAATGAATCTCTGATTCTGCTTACTTACTTAATTATAAAAACGTACTACATAGTTACAAATCTTTTTTGCAGATTTTACTGTTAAATCTAGCCGGTATTTTATTACAATTATTAAAGCCATTTGTACAATTTTATCATCTTGTTCTGTTGTAATCCTTTTTCTCTATTAAAACATATTAGACACATAATAATAATAATAAATTTAAACTGTCCTTTTTAGGTGGACTTTATTTTCTGCATTGCAAACGAAACAAATTTATCTCTAAAGGAAAAATATGACAATTATAAAAATTAAAAAATTAAAAAAAGAAAGAAAAACAAAATAAAATTGTATATGTAGAACTGTGACTAATAAGAACAGAGTTCTTACTTTCTTAATGGATACATCAGCAGTAATTTTGTAATATCCTGTGCAAAAAAGAAAAACACTCACAGCTCTGGCACTGGTTCCATTGGCTCGGGAATTTCTTCCTGTTCCTCTTCATAGTCCGCCTCCATGTCGTCCGTCGGCGGACTGGAAGTCGCGACGGTAGGCGTGGAGAGTCTCGTAGAGGACGCGGACTTTGTGGGCCGATTCTTCGCCGCCCTCTTAATCCGCTCGTCTAAGAGAGACCTGTCTTTCTCCGATATCTACATCAAACAATCTATTTACATTTCTATCTGCTTGTGTTAAATTGTTGATTACTTAAATTCAGACGTACTTGGCCGATAAGCTTGAATACACGCTCTCCTTGTAGGAAGTAGGCCTGGACAATGCAATTTAATGCGGCGTTGCGAACGGAATTGTCGCGATCCGCTATTTGCTTCGCGACTTCCTTCAAAGCCGCAGACGGGCTGGGTTGACAAACAGAAACTCCGTAATTTTCAATTAGCGAGCCTAATTGATCCAGACATTCTGTAAGGCAAACGCAATACGTTCTTAATTCACTTACAAATTTTGTGAATTTTATAATGAAAACCTAAGATTTTAACCTGTTCGCTGTCGTGCATTCTTCGATTTCAAACCCTCCATCACGTACGAGAATAATTTGCTCACGGGATATACTAGAGCAATTTGTTTGAATAAAGCTCGTACGCCATTACGTACAGCATCCTTTGGATCGCCTATCTGTTGATCGATATAAAAAAATATAATAAACTAATATATTGCGTATCTAATAATAATTATAAAAATAAAAAAATAAGTGTTTTGTAACATACTTTGATAATAAGATAGGGGAAAAACGATGCTGCTTCTGTTTCCAGCATGTGATATTGATCTTCAATTAACATATTAAAGACCAATTGTAAATAATCCAATCCTTTCAAAAGCACAGAAGGATTAGTGTCAAAAAATCGTAATGTCAACCATTTGAGAATGAGATCCAAATTAGACACCAACGCTTTGCTATTTCCAGGCATATCCTAATAAAAATACAAATAGGATTAAAAATCGTGTTATATGTCAAATATATATATGTTATATTAAATATTAGTTATCTTATAAAATATTATCACTAACTACCAAAATTTTATATTGACGCTTTTAGAAGCCATATTTACACATGCACATACACACATAATTCGATATAAAGAGAGAGAAATTATATTCATATTTTTTATATATAAATTAGAGAGAGAGAGTATATAAATAAAAATTGATATAGACTACTAAATACTAAATCATACATTGTTTCTCTCTTACATATAAACATATTAATCCAAATACACATATTTACCTCGGTGAGTGTTTCGATAGCCTTTAAATGGTATCGGAAATCAGAATGAAACATATTTGCTCTTAAAGTCTTGTTGACATTTGCCGCTGTCATAAGATCCTTTAGAAGCTCGACGAATTCTTCTCTAGGTGTGGTAAAGTTCCACTTAAGCACCTTTAACTTTTGCTCGTCGATTACACGTTGATGTTTCAAATTATTGACGACCAGCAGAGGACTGTTATCTACATCATCATCTTTCTTACGAGCGCTGCCTGGTTTGGACGACGCGCCCTTCTGGAATAATAAACGAGAAATAATAAATCATAGAAAGAGAAAAAAATTTGTCTGTATAAAGATAGTTTAATATAATTAAATTTAAAAGAAAGAATTAAATAGATAAAAATAATGAGTAATATACTCGAATTTAAATAAGTTTATAAGCTTAATTATTAGATTATATATCAATATTCCAGATTTCATTACCGATTTAACCACTTTTGCAACTTTTGCACCTTTTGCGCCACTCTTCTGGATATTGTCGTCCGAAGGTTCTTTCTTAGGTAGAGGTTTTAGAGGTAAACTGGGACGAGCTTTGTCCAGTGCGGCAATTACTACCGTCCGTGACCCTGGCTATAAAAATTATGATTTTATATATTTATTATTATTATAAGCGTCTTATATGTTGTTATTATATGTGTATTCTATATATTTGTCAATCATTAGACCAATAAGCAAAATCATCATTATATAAAATTAAAAATATTAATATAAGTTATTAAAATAAAAGAATTATCAAGTTATTACTTGCATTTATATTTATACATATATCTTTAGTCAAAGAGAGTTGAAAGAGAGATTATTGTATGTATGTATGTGTTTGTTGCAAGTTTCCAATCTTTTTTAATAGTTAATTTTAAGATACAGATTTATTATACAATTCGTTTAAACAATCAAAGAGAAAATATATATAAAGTTTATTATTTATGTATATTTGTACTAAAATTTTCAATTTCTTACAATTCAAAAATCATTACATTAAAATATTTTTTAAAGAAGAAAAAAATCTATACTTTATACAAAATCGAAAAATCTACCACACAGGAAACATCCTGTAACTCATGTAAATACCTTCAGTTTTTCGGTGTTTCTTGCCATAGCTTCGTACGAGAGATGAATCATAAATCCAAGAACAGCTTCCTGAGCGTTCTTTCGTACGTCCGAATTGCGATCCTCTAGATTAGTATACAAGTAGGAAAGACACACGAGAAGTTCCTCTTTAGGAATCTGTTTCACCGGTATCAAAGGCAATTTCTGCGCCAGCCAATTCCATAGTTCGGTTCGCAGCACTGGCGAGCCCGTTTTCAAAGCATCTCCTATCATCTCGCCATCGAAGAACTCTTTACAGCCGCACTGATCTCCCCATGTGTTGATGCAGGAGATCGCGGCTGTTCTGATCCAATTCTTGCTATCACCCAGACATTGTAAAAACCCGGGAAACAGAGTGCGAACATGCAGTTTCACTGGCGGTCCCATAGCCGTCGCCAACATTTCGCATATACCTAAAAGCATATTTAAGGACAAAATTTAATAAAATTGAGTTATTGAATTACTGATCATCAAATGTTTTTTATATGGGTTATGTTAATAAAAGTCTAAAAAGTTTTAATATATATGATATAATCTAAGAAATTATAGTTTGTAAAGCCCGTCTATAATTAGTAATTAATGTCAATGATGATTAATAATTATTTTAATTACCATTAGTTTATTAATTATATAGTCGAGTAATATGTAATAAAATAATTGTATTATATCAGTTAATAAAAAAATCACACCAACCTAAAGTTGCTTGCGCGATCTTGCTATTGCTGTCCACGAGACGTAGAGCCAATCCCTGCGGCAAATCACCGATAGTCGGTTTGATGAACTTCGCTTCACTAAGGAGAGTATTCACTTTCTGCAGCGCCTCGTTACGCACTTTCCAATTTTTGTCGGCCAATTCGGCTAGCAATGCCTCGGTGATCTGGGCGTTGATGTCGACGCGCGGGATCAGCTCGTTGAGATCTGGATCGCTGCCGCTTACTCTCTTCTCTGACAATGACTCCTCTGCGTCTTCATCCTCGTCCTCGGCAGTGATGGTATTGACCTTTCCAGCCTTGGCGCCGCGAATGGGAGTCGGTGGTGTTTCGCCGTTACGTCTTTCGCACTCTTGTTCAATCTGCTGTCGCAGCGCGGGCTTCTCGTTTTCGAAAAACGTCAACAGTGGTCTGCCCATATAAAGATATAAAGTGCCTAGCAATGTAACCGCGGCGGTGCGCACGCCGGGATTTGTCGCCGCTACTGCCTTCTTCATATTCTCAATGATGGACTTGATGTTGAGACTACAACCTATGTGAGATATTTCGATAAATTTCGTACTAATAAAAATTTGACACTGTTTATTTTATATTTTTTATTTTAATGCAATCGTAAAAAAATTTTAATATAACGTAGACGCAATATTGAAGAAAACCATCAAAGCATTTTATATCTATTTTATACTGCTATTTCTTATAAATTAAACCAAACATTACAAACCAAACTCTGTGAGTCCACGGCACAGCCATAGTAGTGTCTCCTGCTGCACTTTTGGATTTTTCTGATTAAATGCAAACGCTACTATTTCATCAACAACATACTCGAAGCTTATAGCCTCGGCGATTGCTAGCAAGGTTTCTATAGCGATCGAACTGTTCTTCGCGTCTGCCAATTTTTCCGCGATATCCATAAGACAGTATTCGGCAACGGTGGCCGTAAAGGGATGATTCTCCGCCAGATATTTGACGATTTCTATGCGCAATTTCAATACCTGAAAATAGAAATAGATTTAAATATTTCGCAAACGGATTTGAAGAATCTGATTCGCAAATAGTATACAATTCTTGAATAAACTCTATATCTAAGCAGAAATTGAAACTGCATATTAGTGAAGTTGCATACCAACGTTTATAACATTTTTCAGTTTTTAAAAATGATCAAAATAATAACTAAAAATTGACTCTAATGTCAGTAAAACAAATTTTATCATTAATATTAAACCCTATAAATCGAACTTAAAAATGGCATTCTTACTTGGAAATTCGTGTCCTTAAAGCCAGGCTTCTTTGCAAGAGTGCGCACAAACACCTGGGCCGATACTTCTGTCGAATCCATCATCTTAATGGTGTCAGATAGCTGTGTGACTGCGGCCAGACGCGTTTTCCAATTACTGTCCACAAGACCAGTAATTACTTCAACCGGCAAAAGCTGCGCCGCCATTTCGTCAATCTCCTCCGGGCTGTAATTTCTTTCCATCTGTACCGTTTTCTTCGCGGACGATGCTAGATTTGTGGCTGACGAAGCGCCACCGGGTTTCTTGGCCATTGATTTCTTTGTGGTCGCGGTATTGGGTCTTTTCGGTTTGACATTCTTCAAATTGTCTTTGCTCGCTTTATTCGTCTGTTGCGATTCCACTTTGGCGGGAGCAGTGTTAGGTCGTTCCTGTCGCTTCGTACCGCCCGTTATTTTTACGAGTATCACCGCTTTGTCGGCGCACTCCTTAATCTTCGTCATCTTCAAATTGTCGATGTCCGTAAGGAACGGCATCATTGCCTTTTCGCCGATCAATTTCATCGCCGTGCCGAGCGCTTCCGCCGAGTTGTCACGCACTGTTGGATCCGGCTCGTTTAACGTTTTCAGCAACGCACTGGTATACGATTTGAGCAGCTTTTTATTGAGATTGGCCGGTGGCGTGCGCGCGAAACATCGGGCCAAGTAAGCGGCCGTTTCAGCCTTTACAGCCGGGTTCTTATTATCCAAGGCGGCCAGAGTGTCCTCGAGGATGAGATCAATGCTGATGCTCTCGTAGATGGCGTCAGCGAGCTCCCGCAATGCCTGCACCACTGTCTGCTTCTTCTCGCGGAATTTTTCCAGTACGGTGGGCAGACAAGCAGTGGCGTACGGCTGAAATCGTTTCTTCAGGCCTGTGGCCAGGCCGGCCAGACACTTTCCCGCTAGCGTGACTACCACTACATTACTGTCTTTCGAGATAATTTTCTTCAAGGCTCTCACAACATCGCCGTAATCACCATTTTCCAGTTTCGGATTTTTAACGAGTGTTTCGAGCGCTTCCAGCGACTCTTTTCGCTCCTGCCATTTCTTTGCTTCGACTTTTTCGTAAAAGTCTTTCGGCAATTTTGACAAAATGTCCACAGGCGCCAACAGATCGTAAGGATCTATATCCGGGATAGAAGCACCATCCGCGTCTTCGTTCTCATCCTGGCCGTTATTATCGTTCCCTGCCGCTAAGTCACCATTCTTGCCCATATTTTTCGGCTTCTGCGAGCGTAGATAACGCATGGGCATTACTTTTTCGTCGCTGAAATTGTTAAACTCCGTCTCGAGCTCCGTGACATGCACTGGCTTCAACGTATTCAGTTGCTGCTTCAAACGATCACCCACCCACCGATACATCTCTACCACCATAGCTTTACCCTCCTCCCGCACTGTCTTGTCCCTATCTTCAAGGAAATTTCCCATCTTTTTTATCAGCGGCTTCATATTGATAACTTTTGGTCCAAACTCCTTAAGTGCCAGCGTTAAGGTAGCGATGCACGCTGAAACAATTTTCGGATTCTTCGCATCGGTGCCTTTCAGTAGCTCCTCCTGCACCGCCTCATATTTCTCAATTTCGATATACATCAGCGTGATGTGCACGGCCAGTTCCTTTGTTTTAGCCTTAGGCGCAGCGATGCATTTGGACACGATGCCATTCATCACTTCGCCGACTATCTTGCCGGCTACTGCGGCGTTCTCTACGAAGGCCAGGGTTGCTTCCAAGCCCTTCTCCTGCGCGGCTGCATTGCTATCCACCACGAACTTTTTGATAAAACCCATGTACTTGTTCCACTCTGGTGACTTTTCATCGTCAATACACTGGAATGTCTTCACGCATTCCTCATATCCATGTAAACGTGCTCGCCAAGACTATACATCATTAAAAATTATTATTTATTTTATTTAATATATATAATCTATAGATACATATATCACAGTTTCTTCCCCTTGCAATATCCATACCCAATGTAATATGTGCATATTATTATGTGAAATTATTTTGAAAAAACAGCGCGATCAATAAATATGTATTTATATAAATTGAATAATTAATTTCACATTATTCTTGTCACACAGTGATAATAGTTCTGCGATATTTAAATTGTCAAAATCATAAACTTATTAATAAAAATACAACTTGTTTTAAAAAGCAACAAATACCATAAATATTTTAAGATAAAATACAATTAATATTATTATATACCTTGTGTGCACAGCGCTCCTCCAAAGGTAATTTCATATACTCTGTATCTTGCTCCATGATTGATTAACTTGCCTAAAAGAATGACTCACATGGGACTTCCTCTTTATCATATAGGAAATAAAATTAAACTGATGTAAAAAGTACACATATATACTAATTGTTACATTGACAAAGCAAATCAAAATAAATGTAATATAATGAACGACTTTGTAATAAATATACAGGTCATTCGATATCTACTTTATAATCAGAGAATGTACTCGATAAAACAACATATAATTAAATTGGGCTTTCCAACAAAGTCTTGTCAATAACAGATTCCCTCCATCTGAACAGTGATTTCCTATAAATAATTTTCAAAACATAGCTAAAGATTGAAACGCGAATGTAACAATGTTAAAACTGTTACAATCGTTTCCTCTCCGTGATTACTTTTAACGCAATAAGTTTGTAGATGTAATTTGTACAATGGAAAAATAATAATAGGAGGATTTGTAAGTCAGAAAGAATCGTTATATACAATCGAAAAGATTTGAAAAGAAGTCTGGCACGTTGCGATCAACACCGCAATCCAAAGAGCGGTCTCTCGGCGTCTTACCTAGCAAGATGACAATAAATCAAAATCCGACACGGTCGGCGTGTTATTAATCGCGGCTGAGTCGCGGCGTTGAAACGCGCGCTAAAACGAGAGGCACACGAAACGCGAGTGTGCCGCTGGCTCACGCGAATTCGCTCTCTCACGACCTTCCAGCGGCCATTAAATCTGTTACATACATCGAATTTTCAAACGTACATGGCCCTAACTGTCAAGAAGGAACGCAAACAAAAAGGGCGACTATATGTATATATATGTATCTAGAGCGGCGAAACGGCTCCTCGGAAGAACCGTTCGATCCGCGATTAGTCTGACGTCATGACAGTAGGTGGCGCGGGACGCGATCGACACCTACACCCGTTTCACATAATTTTACATAAATTTTTTATATAATTTCTATAATAATGGGAGATTTTTATAATAATTATCTCATAATCTCTTATCTCAATATTATTATTTTCATAATCTCTAATCTATCTACATAAGAGATGCAGTTTATGTTTAATTCTCTTTCGCTCCTTCACCCTTTTCAAAGTTTAACATATATGTATATTTTAAATGCTAAAAGTACAGCTGAATCTCTTACAAGAGTAAGGAATAATTAAATTTTGCTTGTAAAGCATATGTTTAGTCAAGGAAGAAGAATGAATTTGATTGGTTTCGCCATATTGTTGATACATATATGTCAGTGTCAACAATATGGCGTGCATTGTACACTTTTGTCCTTGCACTGGACTGGATCGACATCAACTGTGTATACTAATAATATTACATTATAATATTGCATGATGTAAATGTAATATTATTACATCATGGACTGTCCTATATGGCCGTATAACGTGTATACGTTGGAGCCAACTTCTACACGAAAAAGAAGAACGACTGTCCTATAATGATTCTCCTTTTCCAATATGTTATAGAGTTCATCGTTTTGTTCTTATATCCTTATAATATTGTGCAAATTACAGTTGATCCAAATTAAAAAAAAAAAATAATATAAAAACTTTTTATTTATATGTTACAATAAAAACTTGTTTTACGCCGAAACTGTCATATTAGAATAAGATTACATTTATATGACAAAATGTTTATCAGGCATTATATATTATATTATATAATTTTGTTTATTTTTATTAAAAAGCTTTGCTTTAAAAAAAAAAAATAATATAAAAACTTTTTATTTATATGTTACAATAAAAACTTTTTTTACGCCGAAACTGTCATATTAGGATAAGATTACATTTATATGACAAAATGTTTATCAGACATTATATATTATATTATATAATTTTGTTTATCTTTATTAAAAAGCTTTGCTTTCAAAATATTCTGTCATAAAATTGTAAATGTCATCACAAGAGCTTTATAGTTATATAACATATGGAATTATAGTTATTATAACATATGTTATCCCTAACAATATATAAATTTACAAAACCAAGAAAAATTACATATAAAACTAAAAAAGAACTACTACTTCATCTCTTAATTAAATGATCTATTAATTGTAAATCGATTTCTTCATAGTAACAGTTTGATCAGTATTTTTTTACTATGTGTACTCTTCTTATTTTTCAATATTACATATTTAATCATGTAATATCATATTCAGATTCAGCTTACAATTAAAAAAGTAAGGACTTTCTTCATAGTAACAGTTTGATCAGTACTATTTTTTTACTAGGTGTGCTCTTCTTATTTTTCAATATTACATATTTAATCAAGTAGCATCATATTCAGATTCAGCTTACAATTAAGAAAATAAGGACTTTATTATTATTCTGAATTACTTATACAGATATATATTGTGTGTCAAGAAGTTAAAGAAAATATAAAATTTAAATTATCCAATTTAAAAATATGTATTTTATGTATACAAATAAAGTCATAATAATGGATATAAATTTTAAATTTCCATGCACATATGTTAGTTTAATTTCTATATTTAATTGGACATAATGATAAAAAATAGCTGTACAAATATTTATATCTTACTATTTTAAATTCATTTGACTATAAAATCCGAAAATGGGTCATTTTGGTGCCAGAAAGAAGTCTCCGCCGCGAGATATATTTTTTAAAAAGTTTATTAATATAACAATAGTATATACTTTTTTATAAGAAAATCGTATTACTTCAATATATGTTTAAATATTAAAAGGCATTTGAAAAAGCAACATATGTAACAGTCTAATAGAAGCTGCAAGCTACATGCACACACATTCTCTCTTTTCCTCTCGCACACAATTTTTTTTATCCAATTCATATAACATCGAGCTTATTGGCTACGCGCTATGTAATTAAGGATCAACTATGTGGTGGTTCGTAGCTTATAATACCGCCGCGTGGTGTTGGAAAAAAATATGCGTCTTCCATCAATTAGAGAAAGTGTGGGCATTCACTGTCTTCTTATCTCTCTTTCGCTTTTGTTTTTTCTCTCAATTCTGTTATATTTTTTTTTTTTGTTTCTTCCGCTATCTTACTAGCCACTTTACATCATCATTACTATCAATATATTAAAATAAAAATAGTCCATTCATTCTCGCGCTCTCGCTCACGCTCGCGCAGCACACTCACACATATCAGTCTTTTAAAATAATTATCTTAATTAGCGCGGATTACTTTATCATTATCGTAATCGGGGGGAAAAAAGTAGGAAATGTTGATTGGTGGGGATTTAAAGAGCTTGGTTGATTGATTGATTGGTTGCTTGGTGATAAGTTACTTTGTACTTTACAGCCGCACTGATCTGCCCATGTGATGATGCAGGAGATTGCGGCTGTTCCAATCCAATTTTTATTATCACCCAGATATTGCAGAAACCCGAGGAACAGAACATGCTATTTTATTGGCGGTCCAATAGCTGTCGCCAACATTTCGCATATACCTAAAAGCATATTTAAGAGCAAAATTTAAGAAAATTGGCTTATTGAATTACTGATCATTGAACAATAAAACTCTAAACAATAATGATTAAATCGTAATTAATAGAAATAAAAATAAAACGTTTCTTATACTGAGCTATGTTAATAAAAGTCTAAAAAGTTTTAATATATATAATATAATTCAAGAAATTATAGTTTGTAAAGCCCGTCTATAATTAGTAATTAATGTCAATAATGATTAATAATTATTTTTTTTAATTACGATTAGCTTATTAATTATATAGTCGATTAATATGCAATAAAATACTTGTATTACTCAGTTAATAAAATAATCGCAAAGTGAACACCAACCTAAAGTTGTTTGTGCGATCTTGCTATTGCTGTCCACAAGATGTAGAGCCAATCCCTGCGGCAAATCTCCGATAGTCGGTTCGATAAACTCCGCATTACCAAGGAGAGCATTCGCTTTACTAAGGAGAGCATTTGCTTCACTAAGGAGAGCATTGGCTTCACTAAGGAGAGGATTCACTTTCTGCAGCGCCTCGTTACGCACTTTACAGTTCTTGTCGGCCAATTCGGCTCGTAATGCCTCAATGATCTGGGAATAGATGTCGACGCGCGAGATTAGCTCGAGATCTGGCTCGCTGCCGCTTACTCTTTTCTCCGACAACGACTCCTCTGCATCTTCGTCTTTGGCAGTGACAGCATTGACTTTTCTAGCCTTCGCGCCGCGAGTGGGCATTGGCGGCGTTTCGCCGTTACGCCTCTCACACTCTTGTTTAATCTGCTGTCGCAGCGCGGGCTTCTCTTTTTCGAAGAACATCAACAGCGGTCTGCCTATATAGAGATATAAAGTGCCTAGCAATTTAACCGCAGCAGTGCGCACGCCAGGATTTGTCGCGGTTATTATCTTCTTGATCTTCTCGATCATGAACTTGATGTTGAGATTACAACCTATATGAGATATTTTGATAGATTTCGCATTAATAAAAATTTGACATTTTGTTTATTTTATATTTTTCACATTAATACAATCGTGAAACAAATTTTAATATAATGTAGACACAATATTGAAGAAAATCATCAGAGCATCTTATATCTATTTTATATTCCTATTTCTTATAAATTAAACCAAATATTACAAACCAAACTCTGTAACTCCACGGCACAGCCATAGTAGTGCCTTCTGCTGCAGTTTCGGATCTTTCTCATAGAATACTTCCTCTACTATTTCATCAGCCACATACTGGAAGCTTGTAGTCTCGGCGATTGCTAGCAAGGTCTCTGTAGCAATCGAACAGTTCTTTGCGTTTGTCAATTTTTTCATGATATCCAGAAGACAAAAATCGGCAGCGATAACCGTAAAGCGATGATTCTCCGCCAGATATTTGACGATTTCTATGCGCAATTTCAATACCTGAAAATAGAAATAGATTTAAATATTTCGCAAATGGATTCGAAGAATCTGATTCGCAAATAGTATACAATTCTTGAATAAACTTTATATCTAAGCAAAAATTGAAACTGCATATTAATGAAGTTGCATACCAACGTATATAATATTTTTCAGTTTTTTAAAATGATCAAAATAAAAACTAAGAATTGACTCTAAAGTCAATAAAACAAATTTTCATTAATTTTAAACCCTATAAATCGAACTTAAAAATGGCATTCTTACTTGGCAATTCGGGTCCCTAAAGCCAGGATTATTCGCGAGAGTGCGCACAAACACCTGGGCCGATACTTCTGTTAAATCCAACATCTTAATGGTGTCCGATAGCTGTGTGACTGCGGCCAAACGCGTTTTCCAATTACTGTCCACTAGACCAGTAATTACTTCAACCGGCAAAAGCTGCGCCGCCATTTCGTTGATCTCCTTCTGCCTGCATATATATCCTCTTATCCTTCTGTTTAGTTTCTCTGTATCCGTCTGTATCGCTTTCTTCGTGGATGATGCCAGATACATGAGCGACGAAGCGCCACCGAATATCTTGGCCACCGAATTCTTTGCGGTCGCGGTATAGGGTCTTTTTGATTTGGCGTTCTTCAAATTGTCTTTGCTCGCTTTATTCGCCTGTTGCGATTCCATTTCGGCCGGAGCGGTGTTAGATCGTTCCTGTCGCTTCATATCGCCCGTCATTTTTACTAGTATCACCGCCTTGTCGGCGCACTCCTTAATCTTCGTCATCTTCAGATTGTCGACATCCGTAAGGAACGGCATCATTGCCTTTTCGCCGATCAATTTCATCGCCGTGCCGAGCGCTTCCGCCGAGTTGTCACGTACTGTTGGATCCGACTCGTTTAACGTTTTCAGCAACGCACTGGTATACAATTTGAGCAGCTTTTTATTGAGGTTGGCCGGTGGGGTGTGCGCAAAACATCGGGATAGGTAAGCGGCCGTCTCAGCCTTTACAGGTGGTTTCTTATTCTCCAAGGCAGCCAGAGTGTCCTCGAGGATGAGATCAATGCTGATGCTCTCGTAGATGGCGTCGGCGAGCTCCCGCAACGCCTGCACCACCGTCTTCTTTTTCTCGCGGAATTTTTCCAGTACAATAGGCAGACAAGCAGTGGCGTACGGCTGAAATCGTTTCTTCAGGCCTTTGGCCAAAACAGCCAGACACTTCCCTGCTAGTGTAACTACCACTACATTACTGTCATTCGAGATAATATTCTTCAAGGCCCTCACAACATCGCCGTAATCGCCGTTTTCCAGTTTCGGATTTTTAACGAGTGTTTCGAGTGCTTCCAGCGCCTCTTCTCGCACCTGCCATTTCTTTGCTTCGACTTTTTCATAAAGTCCTTTGGTAATTTAAAACCTATGTACTTGTTCCACTCTGGTGACTTTTCATTGTCAATGCACTGAAATGTCTTCACACATTCCTCATATCCACACAAATGTGCTCGCCAAGACTACGCATAATAAAATATTATTATTTATTTCATTTAATATATATATAATTTATAGATACATATATCACAGTTTCTTCCCCTTGTAATATATGCATATTATAATATGACATTATTTGGAAATAAAAGTAGCGCAAACAATAAAAACATATATTTATATAAATTGGATAATTAATTTTATATTTCTCTTGTCACACAGTGATCATAGTTCTGCGATATTTAAATTGTCAAAATCACAGACTTATTGATAAAAATACAACTTGCCTAGGTTTTAAAAAACGACAAATACCATAAATATTTTAAGATAAAATACAATTAATATTATTATATACCTTGTGTGCACAGCGCTCCTCCAAAGGCAATTTCATACACTCTGTATTTTGATCCATGATTGATTAACTTGCCTAAAAAAATAATTCATTTGGAACATCCTCTTTATCATGTAGGAAATAAGATTAAACTGATATAAAAAGTACAAGTATATATAGTAATTGTTACATTGACAAAGTAAATCTAAATAAATGTAATACAATGCACGACTTTGTAATAAATATACAGGTCATTCGATATTTACTTTCTGATCAGAGAATGTGTGCTCGATAAAGTAACATATAATTAAATTGGGCTTTCCAAAAAAAATCTTGTAAATAACGGATTCCCTCCATCTTAACAGTGATTTCTTATAAATAATTTTCAAAACATACCTAAAGATTGAAACGCGAAGATAACAATGTTAAAAGTGTTACAATCGCTTCCTCTCCGTGATTACTTTTAACGCAATACGTTTGTAGATGTAATTTGTACAATGGAAAAATAATAGTAGGAGGATTTGTCAGTCAGAAAGTATCGTTATATACGATCCAAAAGATTCGAAAAGAAGTCCGGCACGGCGGTGATCAACATCGCGAAAAAACTGTCTCTCGACGTCGGACTTACCTAGCAAGATGACAATAAATCGAAATCGACACAGTTGGCGTGTTATTAATCACGACTGAGTCGCAGCGTTGAAACGCGCGCCAAAACAAGAGGCACGTGAAACGTGAATCTGTCGTTGGCTCACGCGACTCGCTCTCTCACGACCTTTCAACGGTCATTAAATTCGTTACGTCGAGTTTTCAAACGTGACCGTGTTCCAAAATTCACTACCAGTATTGAAATTCCATAGTTCACATAACATATATTATAAAATTCCAGTACTGGCAGTGAATTTTGAAACACGGCCCGTATAAAGGAACGCAAACAAAAAGGTGACTATGTATTTATATGTATCTAGAGCGGCGAAACGGCTGCTCGGAAAAACCGTTCGATCCGCGATTAGTCTGACGTCATGACAGTAGATGACGCGGGATGCGAACAATACCTGTATCTGTTTTATATAATTTTACATAATTTTTTACATAATTTATATAATGGAAGATTTTTATAATATTCATCTCATAATCTTTTATCTCAGTATTATTATTCTCATAATCTCTTATCTATCTAGATAAGAGATGCACTTTATGTATTTAATATTCTTTCGCTCTTTCACACCCTTTTTGAAGTTTAACATATATACATATATTTTAAATGCTAAAAGTACAGCTGAATCGCTTACAAGAGTAAGGAATAATTAAACTTTGCTTGTAAAACATATATTTAGCCAAGGAAGAAGAATGAATTTTATTGGTTTCGCCATATTATTGGTACGTATATGTCAGTGTCAACAATATGGCGTACGTTGTACACTTTTGTCCTTCTATTAACTCTATAATATATGGTCGACACTCAACAATTTGGGATTACTGGATTGGATCGACTGTCTTACACAATGGTTCTCCTTTTCCAATATATTATAGAGTTCACCGTTTTGTTCTTATGCTCGCATTGCAATATTGCGTAAAAACCAATATAAAAACTTTTGATTTATATTATAATACATTCTTTTTTTACGTCAAAATTGTCGTATTAGAATAAGATTACATTTATATAACAAAATGTTTATCGAGCATTATATTTTATACATATAATTTTGCTTATATTTATTAAAAAGCTTTTCTTTCAAAATATTCTGCCATAAAATTATAAATACGTCATCACAAGAGCTTTAGTTTATATTAAATAGTTATATAACATTATATGAATCATAGTTATAATATATTATACATTGTTAATATTATATATAATTTACAAAACCAAGAAAAATTGCATATAAAACTACAAACTTCATTTCTTAAATTGTCTATTAATTAGAAATCGATTTCTTCATAGCAACAATTTGACCAGTACTATTTTTTTTATTCTATTTACTATATGCTCTTCCTACTTTTCAATATTACATATTTAATCAAATAACATAATATTTAGATTCTGCTTACAATTAAGAAAGTAAGGATTCTATTATTATTCTGAATCGCTTATATATATATATATATATATATATATTGTCTGTCAAGAAGTTAAAGAAATTAAAATATAAAATTTAAAAAAATTTAAATTATCCAATTAAAAAATATGTATATTTTATATATACAAATAAAAAAAATAGTTATAACAATGGATATTAATTCTAACTTTTCATGACAATGCATATGTTAGTCTTAATTTCTATATTTAATTGAATGGACACGATAATGATAAATAGCTGTATTTGTAAATATTAATATCCTACTATTTTAAATTCATTTTAAACTATAAAATCCGAAAATGGGTCATTTTGGTGCCAGAAAGAAGAGTCTCTCCATCATGAGATGTATTTTTTGAAAAGTTTATTTATCCCTAAGAGATATACAAAACAAACATTTCTTCTCAGTGTGTAACTATCATAATTCCCCTAGTAGTATAACACAGGAAATTCATGTCATGATTCTTTCGAATATATTCCGTTTCTTTTTTTCTTCTTTTTCCTTCTTTTTTTTTTATTCAATTATCTGTCCATCAAACAGATATCGTGTCTCACACAATATCAGTATCAGTTACAATTCGCTCTTTTTTTCCATAACCAGCTATATGTTAAAATTATGCATATCTGCAAATCAGTATTAAAATATTACAATTTGATATTTTACAATCGTTTGTTATTCGCGTCTTCTAACTCCCTCTAGAAAACAGGTTCCTTTTCATTCGTTCTGCTCATCCTGATAAATTGTTAGAATAATTTTTTTTTACGTCGATAATGTGAGACAATGTTCTCTGAGGAAAGGAAGAGTACGGGAGACGGGGGAGAGAGATTTAACGATTTGAAAGAAGTGACGGTAATTTCAGATTGCTGCGAGCCAAATGTCGAGGTGCAAGTCTGATTATAATAAAGCTTCTAATATTTATATAAATATACTAGAGAAAA